GAGTCCAAGGCACGTTTGTGCTGGCTTGGTCCGTGTTCCACGTAATAATAGACATTCTCGGCGTTCAATTCCACTCGCCAGTCAGGTTCTTGTGCGCTGCTAACATGTGAGAATTAGTATGAGAGAGCCTGAATAGAAGAAAGGGACACTTACCTCTTGCGAAAGGCGGCCCATGGGATCATGGTTTCGTTGACTCCAGCTCAACTCATATAGATTCGGGGTCGGGTTTCGTTGACACTCGGAGCAGCGAGCGAGAAGTTGACTGATATAAAGTACCGAGTACTGGCATCAGGCTGACGTATGATAGGGTTCAAAAGCAATGACAGATTTTAAGGCAGGTCAAAGCTAAGGCGGTTAGAGATCAGGGGGGGCACTTTGCATCGGACGGTGATATGCCTGTCAGCCCTATCAACACTTAAAGGGAGGGGACCCAATGTTTTAGTTGATTTGGCAATCTGTCGCGAGGGTCCCGGGATGAGCTGACACGAGCTCTTTTTGTTTCTTTCGCAACAAACTCAACCCTCGGACGCAGGTGCCCGTGGGTTCACCTGCGACCTGGAGCAAGACGTTGACGATTGTGGAGTGCGAAATGACAGGTGACGGATGGGTCGGGTGGAAGACAATCCGATGTCGAGTTTTGTGGAACCGCCCGAAGCTGACGAGAACAACCAAACTTAGGCTTGGATAATGTTGCGGTCTTTGAGGATGAGAGGCGTCCAGAGACTCTGCTTTCAAAGACAGTAGTAAGAAATATCCGAAGTTGTCCTCCGTCAGCGGGGCGGGATTTGCATGTGTTATAAAGGAGCTGAGGGACGGGTATCGTTGGGAGGTTGAGATCCAAGTGGTGGAGCTGTGGGACACATATAAAGGGTTCCGGAGAATTACTGGTCAGAGAATCGGCCGGACACGAAACAATGTGCAAGCTGGATGAAGCGACGAGTCTTTGTAAGAGAGTCCGTCTTGATCGGCGGGTACTCTCAGGTGGTAGTAGTGGGTGAGAGAGATATGAAGAGGGAGAGAGCGCGCGAAAGGATGCAGCGAGCCCGAGACTCGGGTTGGAAGGGCAGGGTTCAGGTGAAATGGACAGGGTTGAAGTGGCTTTGACACAAGCGGGATGGAAAGCCTTGACTTTTGGGTACAGGGGAACGAAGTTTAAACGCCGAGCCTGAACTCGGTACTGGTAGAGGAATGGAGATTTCGACAGAGAGAGGATGTGATCAGGTTGCGATGGGTTTCAGTTTCATGGGCATTCCTGTTGTTTTTCTCTCTCCAGGGAGGTGGTGGGGGACGGCGCGCCAGGACCATGGACCAGGGGTTGATGGGTGCAATAGGTTTCGATAGGTCAAAAGCTGGACGCAGGTCTGGAGTAGAGAAGCCCCCCGGGCTTCTCTGGTTCCATTCTTTCATGAGCCGTCAAGCCGTCAAGCTGTCAACCATGATGGAGACCCGTGACCATTGGGTGGCACGATGGTCAAGCCCAGCCAGGCCCCCAGAAACGAGGAGGGTGACAGCCCATGGTTGACGCATGGGCTGCGCACTGGCAGAAAGTATCTTTGTTCAAGACGCATCTATCCCTTTGGATCATCATTACTGAAATTCGGAGATGGGCACTGTTGCTAAAGAGGATGCAGTTTGGCTTCGAGGCCCGGTGGCTTTGAAGTTGCGATGGTTTGCTTTAGCCCTGCTAGCCCTACTAGCTCCTGGCCCGGGCCACCCAGACAGCTCCCAGAAGCACCAAGGGGGCCTCCTATCATGCGAAAAAATATCTCCGCCGTCGACCAGGGTGAACCAGGCTCGCAAGGTTGCATGGCAGCCCCAAGTTGTTATTCAAGCTTCGACCGTCGCTAGTCCTCCATGCCCCAGGTCAAGCAGGGATGAGTATACTCCCATAGCCGTTCGGCGGCTCCTTTACTAGGCCACTTGTTCAACTCTTTGCCAATTCAACCTTTCAAGGGCTTTGCTGGAAGGGTGGCTCGTCCATGTTTGGATTTGGGTTTAGCCTCATGCAGGGTTCGGAGCTATAGACTGCGTCTTCAAATCCAGAGTGGAAGGGAGGACGCTTCATGCATATTAGCTGAACGCAGACCCTTTGGATGGGAGAGTCGAGACTCGTGTACGCCGTGACATTGCTTCCCGCCAATGGCACCCAACTTTGCGATCTGATCTGAGCGAAAAATAGACGGATCATTTAGCGACAACACAGCTTCTCGACGTCACCACTGGTTTCCCACAGCTCACCACAGTCTCGCGTGGCTAGGCCAAGGAGTTTGATCCTTCGGGGGGGATCGGCGATGGATTCGGAAGGGACGGCTTGTCCCATGGGCCAGGGAAAAGGACAAACTGGTTTGACGGAGAAAATGACCTGAGCAAGCCAGTTGGGTGGACGTTTCCACACCAGAGAACGATGCGAGACGAGACGAAACGAGATGGGACGGACAAAATGCGCGCTGTACGGGTGACGGGGAGGATTAATCAGATGACAGACAGGGAATACCACGAAAGAGACCGTGAGGGGGGTCAGAAATTTCAATCCTCCTGCGCAGACATTATTAGGCACCGCAGGTACATAGTACGAGTAAGTACAAGTAGGTGCAGTGCTGTGGAAGGAGTCTCCGAGCTTGGGAGCTTAGCGAACTCCACTCGCCTCTAAGGGCTCCAAGGAGGTACCTACCTACAAAGATGGGTGCCGTGGGTGCTTGCAGGGTCTGCCACCGGCAGACTTTCAGTGGTTCCCGTTTGGCCCACCACGGCGCGAACAGGGCACGAGCCCTGTTTTAGTCAAGGCCCGCCTAAAGCCTCACTATCATTGGTACGGGGAACCTCGAGCAAGCCAAGGTGACAGCCACAGGCGCTCTGGAACCACAGCTCCCGGGAAGAGCTACGTCCATGCCTCCACCTTCATGCCTGGAGAATGACCTGATGCTCCCACGGCTCCTAAGCTTACCTCCACATTCCACCAACCTTAGTCTTCCCGTCTCCATCTGTGGTAATTCATCACGCCCCCCCACCATTTCGAGCCTTGAAAGACGGTGTTACGACGATGTTCATCCCATGGAAAAGAAAAGGCTGGTGAGGGTACAACGAACCAAGCAAGCAAAGAAAAAGAAAAACCTGCCCTAGAACTAAAACAACAAGCCGCCTCCTTTCCTTAAGCACTGTCTCACTGCTCCCAAGCGGGCGCGACGAGTCCTTTGCTCAGAGGCGGGGGAACGCCCCTTCGAATCCATCCATGACCGGCGAATGATCAGCATTCTTTCCTTCTCCTTTATTGACGGCGCGGAAGGCGGAAAGGTTCTCACGCAGTGTGCTGCGCTGCGCTGCAACAAGCCTACGAGAAAAAGAAACAACGGATACAAGGGCCAAAACGCCACCCGACCTATTAATGAGCCTGGCAACTAATGCCACCGAAGGACCCCCCCGCAAATTGGAAGTGCCCTTTATTGGGCACAGACGGCTAGCACTCTTGGGCTTGCATCCCGAGTTGGTCAAATGCAGCCTTCTCAGCACGCTGTGAGAGCCATACCCCTGTTCGAAAATATGACACGTTCGATTTTGCGTGATCGGTGGCGTTGTCACCACCCGCATGCGCCTTCTACAAAGCGCTGAATGCGACCTGAGTGCTCATCACGGCCTCAATCTGGCACCGATTTTGGACTCCCCGAACAGAAGACTCCGACTCTGCTGGCAGAACAGGTAGCAGCCGGACAAGGTGACGGATTCACGCCAATTTCTGAGCAAAGACGCAGGACTATCGTCAGCCCTAAACTAAACTGACGGCAAACTGATCCCCGATTGTTGCCGTGACCGTTGGCACTCTACGGTTTGTACCTTCCTTTCTTCGCAATGATCCTTCGAGTCACCCTCGTACCACGAAGTTTATGTGAATAAAATTATGACCGTGACGGACCATGAAACTCGTCGGGGTGTTCCGGGTCCTGTGTTTCTTGACCTTTTTGGCCCGTCGTATGCATACGAGTGATGCAGGTTGTCCCGAAAGCCGAGATGAAGAAGGTCGTCGTGCGAGGAAGGGACAGAATACTCCACTGTATTTCTGTTCCGCGCTGTCGTGTTACAGAAACTTTACAAGGGACAACCCCCATTTCAATTGATAGACCGCGGGTTGTTCCAGTCTTTTCAGATCCGACCTACTCCAGAGGCTTCTTCCATTGTAACTACGGCAGCAGCCGCACGGATGGATGGAAGCACAGAACGAAAGAATAGGAGCTCGTACATACGAGAGTAAAGTGGGTTAGGAACCCTATCGACCACCATCTTCAGAAGCCTACCTCGCAAAGTCAGTGACGGCAACCTCCTCGACGCCACAGGAGATGGTGGTAGGAGCACGGTCGTTCCTAGCTATAAGCGCGAAGTATCTTTTCTTGAGCTACAACGGGGCAGCCTCATTATTCACTCTGCCATTGTTGTGGTCGCCCAGCGAGCATGTCTGAATGTCTGCGATTCTCCGGTCAGCCCTACCACAATGTGAAACCCGCCCAAGCACAGACCGCAACACCGCATAGCCCCTTTATTTCCTTTTGATTTGTTTTTCTTTCTTCCATCGGCACTCCGTATTCAAGGCGTATTCGTGGTCAAAGGGGTAAGACGCCCAGTGCTGCGTTGTCCCTCGCTCGCTTATTCGAACATCGTCAGTGGAACAAAAGGTCCAGACGAGGCAGAAGCGGATCGCCTTGCGTGGCTCGGGAAGTGGGTAGGCTGAAGACAATAGGCAATAGGCAATTCGCAACAACTCTGGTCCGGGCTTCCCGTCTCATTTATCGGTCTTGGTGGTCTGTTTCAAAGAGCAATCCCTGTCCGACTTCGACGAAGAGAAAGAATCTCTTAGAGGACGTGAGACGTCCCGCTTCCTCTGCGTTCGCCAAATCCTTCCCGTAATGTGGGCATCCAGGCTAGCGACATCATCCGAAACCACCCACAACCTGCACCAGCCACTCTTAGACTGACTGCACCGACCACACTTCAGAACAACCCCATCCCGGATCATGGCCCAGGACGAGCCTTTACAGTCCCTCCAGCGCACAGTCTGGCAGGCTCGACTGCCTCTGGAGATTCGACTAGCCGCTTCCGAATCTCGTACCTTTGATGGCGCTGACCCCTACCTGGTGAGTCTGCGCAGGATACTCACTCTCGCGCAGGGGTCAAAAGTCATTGCTCCAACACTGACATACCTGCAGATCGCCTTTCCTCGGTTGTCATATCTTCCACTCCTGCTTCCGCGACTTCACGCCTTCTTTTCGTCCTCACTAATTGCCGATCCCGAGACAATATCACCCTATGCTGGCTACTTCACATTTGACAACGTCCCCTTGAAATGGCATCTCCCGTTGGGGCTGCTCTACGATGTATACGTGATGTCGACTCAGGATGCCCGACCAGATTCATCCTCTTCCGAGCCCCTACCATTTAGGCTAACTGTGCATTTTTCGGCCGACCCGGACAAGCCAATGCTGCCAGATGCAAGCCCCGTTGTTCTACATGACTCTTTCATTAACTCCGTCAAAGAGGCGGACTTTTTGAGATCTGGAACTGCCAAACCCATCATGACCTTGTCGGCTCAGGAGAGTAAGGCTCTGTGGACCTCAACCCAAGACAACGACTTGCCGACATTTGCAAGGATCCATGGCTCTTTGGTGCCAACAGCGGGCCAGATGAGGCATGTCCCCTTGCGATTGTATCTACCCTCTGCACCGGACCAGGACCCGGGCAAAGCTCAAATCAAAGTGTTACAATCACACATTCCACCCACTGTCGCAGTAGTCGGAAACCAGAGTTTGCCTACCAGTGTGCGAGGGATCCCAGCAGGACAACCTCAGACATTGGGGACGGCCTTGCATCAGCTTGTGCCCAGCTTATTTCCATCTCGGAGGACGCCAATTCTCGCTACACCGCTTCTGCATGGTGCACCCGTTCCCATGAGTGCTCAGCTTGAGGAACTTGCTCGATGGGGTTGCTATGCAGACGGCTGGTTGTCGGTGGTGATAGCCATGCGTGGATAAGCTGGAGGTCTCGTTCCTCGACAGGAATACATTGCCCACCGGCCACGAGAAAAAGGCCTGTGGCCTGTTGCCTGTGCTCTGACATCCGAGATATTGCTTTCTCGTTTGATTGCGGTTACTGTTGATCCCCACAGATGCTTGTCGAACGTCATAAGTGGCTGAATGTTGGACCAACCCCTCTCCTCCAGCTCAGCCACACTGGCGCCCCAACCTCGCATCTCACCCATGCTTCGTGTCGCAATAGCCGCCCGCCTCGCAGCCCTTTCACATCTCATCCATGACCTTGAACCCAGGCGACTGATGGAGATGACATCTTAGAACAATCAGGTCAGCAGGATACCATGCTCTAGAGACACTGCGATACTTCTTGGTGACGTCTGCAACTTCTCCGCACCTCACTGCTGTCATGCTCCAAGGCACCAGAAGTTGATGACGCTGAACGACCGACTGCACTCATCACCATGCCACCGTTTCCCGGGGAAGAGACGCTAACTACGGTGTAAGTAATATGTAGGCCGACGCCTACGACTATGCTTGACCGTGGTCCGATTCTGACCTTGCTCCTCAGATATGTCGACCTCCACTCTTACTTTACGGCACCCTCCCCTCGCCCGGCTCTACATCGCTTCGACAAAGCCTCCTATTTCTACGTCTACTACAATTCCACGAGACAGACAAGTCGCATCGAGGCCGCGATCAATCCTGGCACGGCAGATCAGACGGCCTTTCATGGCTTCCTCGAGGGTGTCAAGGTGATCAACTCTCACAAATTCCCAACGAGAATAACAATCATCGTTGATGGAGACAATGCAGCGGCCACTTCTCCATCGTCCCCCCGTTCAGGAAGAGACCCAGAAGAATGGCGTCTAGCCAGTTCGGATCCCCGGGATCCTGGCACGTCCAAATACAGGATACACACAATCGATGCTTATTTCTGGAATCAGGATGATTCCAAGTTGGTATTGAACATTTTCAAGAAGCTGCTTCAGCCGCATCAGTTGGACATTGAGGATGACGTGCGTGACGAATCCGATCACCATGATATGGTCAGCCCAGTGGTTCAAAATCTAGAGCATGTGGCCATATCAGACCCGGCATATAAGGAAGTACAACATGATTCTCCCGCGGTCCAGCACAGCCATCCCATCCAGCTGCCCCCTCCTCCACCGCCCCCTGCTGTCTCTCAGGCTGCTGCGGTCGGTCCTGGAGCATCAGCCTCGCCAATTTCGGTCAATAACAGCATCGGTGGGAGATCCTCACTGAAAGAAACGAAACCGCCCATGGACTATACGCCCCTCGCGTACAACCCGGCAGCGCCAGCGGCTCCGGAACCTATCGCCCATCGAGAGGACACCCCCCCTCCGGTCGACGCTGTTGACGGAACGGGGCTGGCTGCGGCAGCAAGGCATGATAATCCTTATGCCTCTCAGCAGTACCCACAAGCCTTTGGCAATCCTTCCACTGCTCAGCCGGGGGGTTATGGACATTACGGTGCTGCACCACAGCCGTCGTTTGGACCCCATGGCACTGTTTCGCCTGTGCCATCCTTTGGACCTCAAGCAGCGGCGACCGGGTCACAATCCTTTGGACCACACGCAGGGTCACCCCCACTTCAGGCGTCTCCGCGTACATCTGTTTCGACAAATTTTGCCCCGCCTCCCACCAGCGCAAGTACTGACAGCAGTCGTCACCCTTCAATAGCTGCTCAGACGTATGTGCCTCAAGGGCAGGACCCAAATGCACACATTTTTGGCCAACAAAATGTGCAAACGCCAGGTACACAATTCTACCAGTCAATTAATGGTCAACCCCATAAACCACTGCAGCATGTACAGCCACAATACCCGGACTATCTAGCGGCTGGTCAACCTCCCGCGCCAGCGCCAGTTCCTGCTCCGCCTCTCGGAGGGTACTCGACCTACAACTATGGACACGCACAGCAACCCCAGCCTGCAGCGGGAGCTTACGACATTCACTCTCAAGTCTATAGGCCGACTGAGGCGGAGCACCACACACACCATCACAAGCCACCCAAGCCCTCAAGTTCGCAGCACAAGCCATCACATGCAGAGAAGATTGAGAAGGGCGTTGGCAAGTGGATTAAGAAAATTGAGAAGAACTTTGGGTGAGGAGAGAAACAAATGAAATTGGGTTGGGATATTTTGCACAAGGGGGGTTTCATTTCTGGTGTGTTGCTGTAATCTTAGCAAGCGTGACGAGGCTCAATGAACCATGTGTTGAATTTCTCTCTGGGTAAGAGCAAATGTTTTTTCGTCCACTACCTATGTTTGTGTCGACACTGTCAAAGAGATCTTCAGCCTGTGTTGTCTCTGCCTTTCATACCTTTTCTACACGTGAAGAAGCGCGGATAGCAGAGCGCTTCAACGGCCACGGCACTCCCACTCCCACTGCAGAGGCAGCAACACCGAACTCGGAGAATGAGATATGATCTATAGCTCGGTACATGGGATTATCGCATCCGGTCGGTAGCCCCTTTGAATCTCGAATCGAGTAATTCATTGCAAATCTTCGGGGACGAGGGCGATTCTGCTCTTGATTTTCCCGGCGTGCAGATCGGCCAGGATCCGGGGGAAGTCTGCCATGCTCCCCGTTTCGACCTGGGGGTTGATGACGCCGTTGGCAATCAGGCCCAGACACGCGACGAGGTCGTCCGTGGTCCCGCCGTAGCTGCACAGGATATCGAGTTGTTTGCGCACCGCGACGAACGAGGGCAGAGTCAGCTCGCCGTGGAGCAGGCCGACCAGGACGACGGTCCCTGCCTTGCGGACTAGAGAGTGTTGCGATCAGATCGGTGAGTGCACTCGCAGAAAAGGGGGTTAAGGGGGCGAATGAGTATGAGGTATGAGGGATCGTCAGGTGGAACTCACCGCTCTCGATGGCCGCCTTGAAGGTCTCGGGGACTCCGACGAAGTCGATGGCAGAGTCCACCACCAGCGCCTTGTTAGTCACCCACTCGCTGACGCTAGGGGTTTCCACAGGCACGACGTCTTCGTTCTTCACCCCGAATGTCACCGCTGCGTCCAACACCTCCTGTCTCTTGTCCACGACGATGACCCTCGCGCCAATGTCCACCATCATCTGCAGTGCGTTGAAGCCCAGCCCGCCGAGCCCGAACAGCAAGACCGTGTCTCCTTTCTTGACCTTGGCCCTCCGCGCGATGGCCTGGTAGGCCGTCATGCACGCATCGGTGGCCACGGCCCCGGCAGCCGCACCGACGCCCGAGGGGAGCTTGATGGCGGCGCGCTCGTGGATGGCGACGTACGGGGCAAAGGAGCCGTCGTGGCCGATTCCGTAGTTTTGTCCACCGGTGCAGATCTGGGGGACTCCGCCAGAACATTCACGACAGGTCGCTTTGCCGCAACCGGGCACGGACAAGATGGACACCATCTCGCCGGGTCTGAACTTTGTGACTTTTCCTCCCACGGATATGACCTCACCGCAACCTTCGTGGCCCTTTTTTTTAGGAGGAAATCTAGACTCAGCCGTCCGAGTGGGTGAGGAAAAAAAAAAAGGGGGGGGGG